GGATCGCACAAAGTAACTATTATAATCCCACAAAAGATACCCGGGTAAATTGTGACGCAAGTCTCAGTGGCCTATGGGCAACTTTGGAACAAAGAATAGCCAATGACGAGTGGGTACCCATAGCGTTCGCTTCACGTTATCTAAACACCCAAGAGAAAAAACACTCGACCAATGTACTGGAACTGCGTGCAGTAGTTTGGTCAGTCGACCGCTTTAAATACTATCATTTAGGAAAAGAATTTGTAATAAAGCTCTAACATCAGCATTGGGAAAAATAGATCAAATAAAACGTATTAATCTCGACTCACTAGTTGGATGGACCAATTGTTACCTTACCATTTTGGGTTGGTGCACATACCGGGTAGAGATATGGGAATAATAGATTATTTGTCAAGAGAACCAAACGCGCTGAGTCAAAAATGGATGAGAAATTTGTGATAACGTCGATTGAGGAATTTCATCGAGCACTCGACTGTTTGAACAGTCGGCTAAGTAATTAGACACAGCCTGACTGGAACAAAAAAATCTAGATAATTCTGAAACCAGAAATCTCTGGATAGAACGCAACACACGTCAACCCACGATTGTTATCGCAACCAATCTTTCAAAAACAAATAAAGCTCGACCGGAACAAAAACGATCAAAACTCAAGTTTCTCAAACTGTGTACAGAACAGTTCAAGCAAAATATCTCAGTGTAAACAGCCCGTCAAATTCATATCAAATAATTTCAAATACACAGAAGAAAAACGGATGGAGGAGAAACTAGGAAAAGAGAAACCGAAAAAGACAGTGAAAATAATCAAGCCGAAAACCAGCGAGGAAAGACGAGTGAAACGTTGGAACAAGTAACAGAAACGACTTTCCAGAGAACGAGGACGGTTCAGAGAGGTTCAGAGAGGCTCAGATGTAACGCAGGTCGAGTGGTGGAAAATGGACATATACAAAAAAGTCCTGAAATCAGACCATCAACGGCAACACCAACACGCACAGAACAACCCAAGTTCATGTCATTTTAGGATCTAGTTGGATCGGAGCGTAATGACAAATCAACCCCAGGAACCATGTTAAAGCTAGAAGCGCCCACGAAAGTGACCAGCCCACACAAGAACATAGAAGATAGGAAGGGAGCAACAGTGATGGAGGTGGACTTAACAGCAGACAGCCCAACAGACAGCATAGAAGTCAGCACAGTAGCAGGAAGAAGACTCAAACCCAGAGTTTTGCGTCGCAGAGAAGAATGAAGAGAGCAATGTACTTAATCTGTCGAAGTTATTCGATCGAAATCTATTAGCTGAACTAACCACCGAGGACACATGGATAGACAGACTTCGTCGCGTCATCGAACGGAACGACCGAAATAATTTTGAAATGGCCAATGAAAGTAAGAGCAATGTACTTAATCTGTCGAAGTTATTTGATTGAAATCTGTTAGCTGAACTAACCACCGAGGACACATGGATAGACAGACTTCGTCGCGTCATCGAACGGAACCACCGAAATAATTTTGAATTAATGGGAACTTATACGAAATCGCTCTGGCACCAGATGTCCGTAGTGGATGATTGTATCATCGTGGACGGTCGGCTAGCTGTTCCAGGGCAGCTGCGGCTCGCAGTACTAAATTGGATTCATTGTGGCCATAACGGGCAGGAGGCAATGTATCTGTGGTAGCCACACATGCATAAGGACATTGTGAACTTGGCCGAAGAATGCAGGAATTGCACTCGTTATGGTAGGAATGCTAAATATATAATACCGAAGAATGTTTCAAAGCCACTCCCACTGCTATCGCTGCTGGACCAAGAATTACAAATTGACTATGCGGGACATTTAGAAGATCACAAGGGGGAGAAAATTTGTTTACTTGTAGCTATAGATAGATACTCAAAATTTCCGTCGGTAAAAATCACTAAGTCAACTGGGCGTTAATCATCAATTAAATTTTTACGTACTATGTTGATTATCACGGAATACCAGAGTCTCTGAAAAACGATCAATTCTCTGGCTTTGAGGACAAAACAATGCAAAAATTTTGTTCCGAACTTAATAGTGTACAAAAATTTTGTCCAGTGGGGGACCACAGGGTTTGTGGATTAGTTGAACGAACCATACAAACTATCAAAACAAGATTGTGAGTTATGTTGTTGGATGAAATTTTTTCATCAAAAAAACTTAACCTTAGCACGATAATTCGCGATCTTAGATAGAGAAAACAAAATTCGATTCAATGCTCTCCATTTGAAGCCCATTTTGGACGCCTTCCAAATTATGAATTTAAAATCTTAAGGGAAAAATTCGTAAAAAATTTTGATCGTGTAGATAAAAAACACCTGGAGCGCTCAGCCCTCACTGCACCACAGCTAAAGAAACGTATTGATCAGTCGAGAAAGAATGTCAAAATCGTACGAAAGGGGCAGAATAGTTGGGAAATCAGTCCGCTATTTAAGTCAGAAGTCGAATCAGCGAGGGATAAGGATCGATCAAAAGCACTATGAACCCTTCTTGAAGCCAATGCCAGGTGGAACGCCACAAGACGAGACTCCTCCGGTAACGATCTGAGACGAATTGGCAACGAAACTAGCACAATTGACACCGAGTTGCGGAAAGAACTTCTATACTCATGGGAACATGGGTTTATTGAGGATGAACCAAAAGAACAACCAGAACAGCGATCTCCCATCCTGCTATGGAAAGACGAGAACAGAATAGTGGCAAAGCTTAATGAATCCCTTCAAGGGAAAAGTGCAATCAGAAACCCCTTTTACAGTAAAAACGGCTGCAGGTGCAGTTTATCGGAAAAGTGACATCGTGGAATTGAAAAAAGATGCCAGCGCAGCAGGAAAGAAGAATCTCAAGAAGGACCAGTTAAGAAGCCCACACGGAGAAGAACCAAAGCAAAAGCTACAGAAGAAAGAAAGCAGAATGCAACTGGAGGATAGAGAATTAGAAGAAGATATGCCACAAACTCAACAAAAATCGGAAATGATAAAGGTAACAGTGGTATATCAGGATAGCCAAGAGAATATGACCTCAAAGGACATGGAGGTAAACGGGGGTTTGAACTTAACCGTAAAGCAAGCCAAACCGAACAACTCAGGACCACTTTCGGATAAAGTGAAAACTTTTCTTGACGCTAAGGGAGGAAAGCAAAAAGAAAAAACCCAACGACTCAAGAAGCCAGAAGACAAAAAGCTGCTGCAGCAGTAAACACCGATAAACTAACAAGAAAACAAGACGTCAGTAAGCTTTCACAACCGTCGAAAGCGGATATGACCAACTCGACAAGTTCACAAAAAGATGCAGCGGGCAGCAGCAAAGACATTACGAGACATACATCTGGAGAGAGAATATTGGAAACATTACAAAGCAGCGAATTGACCACAAATGATTGGAGCAAATTGGCCGATTTGGTATTAACGAGAGGTGTACAGAATTCTGCAGAAAAGATACTGAAATCTATGGACGGGGTGAGCGATGATAAGCACACCAGTACTCCTCCTGTGTTCTTCGACCAGTCAGGCGATAGCGAAGTGACAGTGAGGCGTATCGGATAACAGAACAAAAGTTAGTCGCTACGAAAATCCACTGAAGCACTCAGTTAAGCTCATAAGTTTGCAACAAAACATCACGGACTTAAGCAAGGCAGCTCTCGAAGCGTACAGATTAAAATTAGCAACATTTCGAGTAGACGCGAATAAGTCAATAGAAACAGAACTTGGAAACCTGGAAAAACTTTTGCTTAGAAGAAAGATCGGGAGCGAGGCCTTAGATATTTCAAGAAACTGGAACGCATCGTGGCGTGTACCATTGCTTTTCGATGGGAACCAAGAAAATAGATAGAAGCAAGAGAAGTAGAAACTCGAAGAAAAATGAGTCAAAAACTTAGTAAGCTGAGTACTAAAATTCTTATTTACTTAATAAATTTTATCAACTATTATATAAAGTTTAGTTGTCTTCGAGTGAGTGTGGTACAGCACATGCGGCATGTGCAGTAATTATGTGTTAACTTTGCTGTACACTAACCTTTAGATTCATATTGCTATCTGTAATCATAAATTGTTATTATACCAAGGTCGTTTCTTATTGTTCACTGAGTCTATTCAGTTGAGAGGCAGATCTCCGTACGGCAGATATGGAATTCGGTCTGACCTAAAAGCCTTTCAGAGAAAACCATCAGAAACAGTTTCAGAGACTAAATTTACATCTTGAAACCTACATTGTTTTCACACCAGTATTATAGCATACTATCCCTTACCACACAACTATAATTAACAGAAATACAAGTGATTGGATTCTAATCCCTCTTCAATGACTTTCAACTATCTACCTTAAGCAATTTGTGCTTACGCCTAACATTTTCAAAGTGCATCGTAATTAAATCATTTTTTGAGTATCTTTTCTTAAAGAGATTATTCATTCCAGTATTGGACGCGTTATTTCAAATGACAGTTTTCAGAGCAACTTTTTCATTCAAATTGTTCATCCATCTGCAGCTAGTGTGATGGCTCATGTGCCGAGACAGTTTTCCTTGACAAAGACCTTGCGAGGTATATTGTTTCTGTCCAGTCTGGAATTGTATCACTGAACCAATCAGTTTATCCCGATTTTCCAAGAGTCTTTAACTGGTTCTCGCAAACAGAGAGACATTTGGTTGTTTATCAAACAATGATTGACTACTGGGAAAATCTTCATCCAAAATTCAGTCAACCTTTCTTTTCTTTAAACCTTTGAATCAATATCCAGTCAACCTTTCTTGCCATATAGTAACACAAAAAGCTACCCTCATACCAATTCAAACCATAGATTCAGAAACAATTTCTCCTTATTAGTTTTCCTGTATTGTTACCCAAGCGTTTGCTGCGAAGAAATTAGTCGACAATCAAACTTTGGTTGAGTTTTTAGCTGTTAAGCGGGACGGGACAATTATTGCAAGTTTGCCAGAACTGATTTAAACCCTCTTCTAAAGCTTGAATTTTTCTATAATTTCTGTAGCACCCATAGCATCAGTCCGGCAACAGTTTCGGTGAGAACAACCTATTTTTAAAAAAAGATCAATTGAAGTCAGCGTTTGCTGAATTTGCTTGTATTGGCGCATTGTACCAGAAGTCTTGATCATTGACTACGCAACTTTAGTCAGCCTCGACTTGTAGCTGGTGCTAATCTAGAAAAAAAACTATATTTTCACCCTTAGCCTAGTAGAAAACTTCAGAGGTGCCTATTTGCTAATTTGAACAACCTTCAGTCCGATGAAACCGTCGCTTGAAAGGAATTAGAATAGTTTTGACAATCCACATATCTTTTTACGATTACATTAATCACGTCAGAACAGAATTTTTTTTTCATTGTTTTTTTCTCACCAAAACTCTTCAACTTCCTTAGTGCTGAAAATATCAGGTGAAGACTTTTTCCGCACACAAAAAACGACGTTTTAAGGGCAACCCTGAACATCGTAGGACGAATGGAAAATTGTCACACTCTGAATGATCGGCGTTTTCAGCAGCTACTGAAAAAAATCCCAATTGGTTTTTTATAAGAATTTTCAAAATATTCCTGTATCTATCAATTGACACCATGTTCGAGATCTTCGGTATTGTTTGAAAGAAATAACAATTTTTTAAATCTGCCCATATCTCATGAAATGCCCTGTAAAATAACGAAATGGATAGAATTTTTTAAATGAAAGTTATTATCTGGTTGCTACTAAGTTATTATGTGAAAATGTGAAGTTTTAAAAAATGTGAAATTTGTCCATACATTACACCAGACATAATCAAAATTGATCTAGAGCAACGAAGAGTGGTCAAAACTGTGTAAACTGAACGTAATATGACAAACCATAAAAAATGAAATCAAAGAGAGTCGAGGTTTGGAACTTTGTTTGATGAAACAACTTTCCAGAAAAACTCGAATAGTTTTATTTGCATGTAAACCAAATAACCAAAGTAGTCAAAACATTGATCCCAATTGCTCACTGTTTTCGATCCCCAAAAACTATACATTTAAATTACAGCCAATCTTTAATTCGAAAAATTTGATTAAAAAAATAAATAAAAGTTTTCCCGCTAGTTGCTGGTTAAACTCGTAACAGCAAACCAAAGTCGGTAATCTCAGAAATTTTGATAGTGAGTGACCCCAATATCTTTAAGACAGTTTCGATCATTGTTCAAACAGTTCGGTTGACAGTAAATTACAACACTTATTTCATAAAAACATAAGCGATTTTGTGATATGTGATCCATGTTAAAAAACGCATCCAAGATGAATCAATTATCGTTTCATCTGTTAATTGAATCAGCTTGTGTACTTTTTTTACCTTGTGAAACCTCCTAGGAGCTATCTTTTAGGCAAAATGGTTAACTCGACTTCGAAATTCTGGAGTTCATCTTCTGACCCGTTCTTTTTTCTTGAAGTGACTGCATTTGTCGAGTTTGTACTTCAATTTTGTTGTTATTTTGTATGATGTGAATTGACTTCTACAACAGATTGCCTGACTTTCAGGTTAAAATACCATCTCATCTGCTCACGGTAACACTTCGTAAATTTTACCCAATATCATTTTGACTCTGTAACCTGTTTTTCATCAATTTCTCACCGTATCGCACTGTAAATCTGCAAGGTTTTGTTGAAATACTTTTGATCCTTATTTGTCAATTACCCAAAAAAAACGCAATTTCTGAAATCTTGAAAGTTCGCTGATAAACTTCAGAAATTGGATTCTTTAGCTAACTTTAGCTAACTATATCAGTAAACAAAACGTTAAAACTGGCCATTGGAATCAATTGGTTGGAAGATTTTGATCCGACGTGGGCTACATCGAAACAAATTTGCTTGCTTCCTTCTCAGAAGTAAGTGTTTCCACAAAAAAACGCATCAGTGATCGAAAAACGTTTTCAACTCTTTAGGTTTCATAAATTCTAGTAGCAAAAATTTGAGAGAACTTGCTGAAAAATATATCCACAAAGAAGCAAGAAACTTGAAATAGCTAAGCCGAAATGTGAAGTAGAGAAAAACATAGCGATACAGATATGAGTCGAAAACAGCAGGAAGCTGATAAGATTCGTTGTCAAAAGGTACCTCAGAGAAAAAGATCAAAAATCCACGGAAAGCTGGCACAAACAAAATGAGGAGACTACTTGATAAAAGGTGAGTTGCCGAGAGAAGAAATGATTAGCAGCATGACCTGTTTTTGCTAAACTTCTACGGATTTTGAGACTCGAGTTTGTCAATAGCAAACATCAATGCAAAAATGGAAACGGAAAAAAATCTCAACCAAACCTAATCCTAATACCATCCTAATTAACAGCCTTTTAATCATCTAATTTAAAAATCTCCGGCTTTACAGTATAAACTTCAAACTGCACCGGATTTTTTCATTTTTTTGAGATCATACAATACGCTATTGGATGCGCTAGTTCCAATGACAGTTTAAAAAGCCACGTTTTTGTTCAAAATTTGGTCGGAATAAACCGTCGATCCAGCTGCAGCTAGCGTGATGGCTCAAACGCCGAAAGTTTTTCCTTGAAAAGAGAGAAGGCACGGTTTTTTTATTTTTTTTTCCAGCCTGGAACTTATTCACTGAACCAGTCAATTTTAGGCCCAATTCATCATTTTTTTTTAAAAACCTTAAGCTGCTTCTCGCACACAGCGAAACTTATTCATCAAATTTTGAGTGACTAGTGGGAAAATCTTGATACAACAACCAGTAAACCTTTTTTTTTCTTTTATATGCGAGGTAGTAACTCAAACAGCGGCCATTAAAACTATTCAAACAATAATTTCGGAAACCAACTCTTTTTATTAGTTACCATGTACCGTCTACCGTTAGCCGAGCATTAGCTGCGAAGAATTTAGTCGCTATGTAACTTTCGGCTGAATTGTTAGCTGTTAAGCGAGATAACAACATCATTTTAAGTTGGCCCAAATCGATTTCAACCCTCTTGCAAGGCTTGTCTTTTTTTGATCGTTTCTGCAACAGCATCCATAGCTGCAGTCCGGTAACAGTTTCTATGAAAAACTTCTTTTTGGAAAAACACTCAACATTTTAAATTGAAATCAGCTGTTGCTGAGTTTTCTTGAATTGGTGCACTTTACCAGAAAGCCGTGAGAACAATAAAACACAAATTTGAGAGACGCTTTTTTGCCCAACCAAGCGCGGAACAAACTATCTTTCAAAACACGAGATTAGCCTTGGTTGTTAAACAACGCACTTTAAATAATTAAATTGAAATTTTTTTGAGCTAAGACTAGTTAAAAAGAAAGTTCAATTAAAAATAATTAAAACACTCAGCTAAACTACATTTAGTTTATAAGTGCTTCAGGGTCGAATAGTGCGGGGTGCTAAGATACACCCAAGTGACGGGTTGGTTCTCTTTATCGATGGTTAGGGCTTGAGTTTGGTGTCCGATGTTGTTCCCAGACAAGTCGACTCATGTTCGCCTAGTTTGTCATCCGAGCTTTCAATGAGGCTTGTAAAATCAGTTTCGTTCAACTTTGAAGGAAGTTGATTGATGCCAAGCGGCTGGAGTTATGTCGGGTTAAGGACTCAAAAAACTTGGATTGGTGGCTACTTTTTTCATAAGTGAAAAAACGTTTTGCTTTAGCAATCCCGGAGACCAGCGCTTGAAACGCTATGAGCTGGTTTTTGGAACCTAATCTAAACTACATTTCATTATTCATAATTTAGATATCTTACCACTGTAAAGTATTTAATATTAACCAATCACAATCCATCTAACTAACAATCCACTTATTTGTAAGTGCTGAAATTACTTGTAATTTCAGCACCAGAGAGATTTGAATTTAACTTAGAAATTAGTTGCCTCTCCCGAGTACTTCAGCAGCCGCAACAATACCAGTATACTCTAGATCTATTGAGCCTAGCAGAGACTAGTTAAACACCCTGAGACTAGTAGTTATAAGAGTAAGATTAGGATCGGTATTAGACTAAGAAGTTGCACGAATCTATCCGGCCGAAAATAAGATAGCGTGACGAGCAGACGGTGTACCCTATCCGAAATTACTCTATGAGATAAGCCACCCACACTTAACTCATCTGGTGCGACCATAAGTCTCGAACAAGACCTTAAAAAACAAATTAGCTTAGAACTAATAAAAATTAGATTAGAAATAGACAAAAACATTTTCAAAATGTTATACGATAATAATTTAATTGAATGGTCTCTACGACTCAATAGATCAAAACCGCTATTCCGAACAATACAAGAACGACCACGTATTGGAAACAGACCTCGGACAAGAGACGACATACGACTACGAAGAAACTTACCAGATAGTTTCATAATAGTACGGCAAAAGCCACAACAAACTTTTAAATTTAGATTATTAATGGCAATGAATTTAGTTTTTCATTCGCAAACATAAAGTTCTTGAAGTAAAATCTTCAATGCATCTACCAGGCGCTAAATAAATTATTAATGTTCAATAACGATTGATAAAAACATCTCTAATCGTTTCTTTCTCTGCAGTGCTATATAAAACATATTCAAAAAATAATTTATTCAAAATAAAAATAAAAATTAGTAGCATGACAACAAATTGTTAGTAAATATAAATCACCTTGTTGTTCCAGCTTCATCACCTAAACATAACAGCAATCATAAGTCAATTAACATCATCAAAACTAAAATTCACAAATTGTTGTTTGAAATTATAAACTTTATATACTTTAAACTTAAAATCCAAAACTAGATCATCAAGGCTTATCCTTGGATGTAAATTAATTTTCTATTCTTAGTTTTATTCTTGATCATCAAGGCTTATCCTTGGATCAAAGAACAGTTTTGTTCTCCTTCACCCACTTATAAAGTGTTTAACGACCTCAAACGTCGATTCACTATCCAACCTTTTCAAAAGACCCAGGACTAATAGAAGTTTTTCAAACACTAACCATTTAAATTAGGCTAAACAGTGAAGAACTTCGGTTATTCATCCTTCACTTGACCCCTCCTCTCATACGACCAAGGATAATCATAGACTTAGTAAGTTTAAAATAGTACCTAACGAACTACTTGCGTTCTAATTATACCTGAACCTTGTGGATCGATTTACTATTGTCCAACCCTTGTGAACACAATCACTACCCCTCAGTATGATTAAGTAAGTTAACACCTTAGCTTATACCAGCCACGAGAAAGTAATAATCATTCCTCGGAATCGATATACTTTTCTCTCCAACCCTGAAAAAAAAGACCCAGGCTAAGCTAACCAAAAAATCGTAAGGACTAACAGTCTAGGAAATTAAAATCACTTACAAACAACTTTGCATCCATCACGCTAAACCTTATGTCATTAAAAAATCTAGGAAATGAAATAAGGTGTTAACTTACTTAATCATACTGAGGGGTAGTGATTGTGTTCACAAGGGTTGGACAATAGTAAATCGATCCACAAGGTTCAGGTATAATTAGAACGCAAGTAGTTCGTTAGGTACTATTTTAAACTTACTAAGTCTATGATTATCCTTGGTCGTATGAGAGGAGGGGTCAAGTGAAGGATGAATAACCGAAGTTCTTCACTGTTTAGCCTAATTTAAATGGTTAGTGTTTGAAAAACTTCTATTAGTCCTGGGTCTTTTGAAAAGGTTGGATAGGCCTCAATAGATCAAAACCGCTATTCCGAACAATACAAGAACGACCACGTATTGGAAACAGACCTCGGACAAGAGACGACATACGACTACGAAGAAACTTACCAGATAGTTTCATAATAGTACGGCAAAAGCCACAACAAACTTTTAAATTTAGATTATTAATGGCAATGAATTTAGTTTTTCATTCGCAAACATAAAGTTCTTGAAGTAAAATCTTCAATGCATCTACCAGGCGCTAAATAAATTATTAATGTTCAATAACGATTGATAAAAACATCTCCAATCGTTTCTTTCTCTGCAGTGCTATATAAAACATATTCAAAAAATAATTTATTCAAAATAAAAATAAAAATTAGTAGCATGACAATAAATTGTTAGTAAAAACAAATCACCTTGTTGTTCCAGCTTCATCACCTAAACATAACAGCAATCATAAGTCAATTAACATCATCAAAACTAAAATTCACAAATTGTTGTTTGAAATTATAAATTTTATATACTTTAAACTTAAAATCCAAAACTAGATGATCAAGGCTTATCCTTGGATGTAAATTAATTTTCTATTCTTAGTTTTATTCTTGATCATCAAAGCTTATCCTTGGATCAAAGAACAGTTTTGTTCTCCTTCACCCACTTATAACGTGTTTAACGACCTCAAACGTCGGTTCACTATCCAACCTTTTCAAAAGACCCAGGACTAATAGAAATGTCCTGTATGTATGTATGTATGTCCTGTAATAGAAAAGGACCCATGTATGTATGTATGTTTGTATGCATGTTTGTATGTATGTATGTATGTATGTACAATTGTATGTATGTATGTATGTATGTATGTATGTTTGTTTGTATGTATGTATGTATGTTTGTATGTGTGTATGTGTGTATCTATCTATGAATGTATATCTGTATGTATGTATGTGTTCATTTATATATTTATGTATGAATGTATGTATCCTTGCATGTATTTAAGTATATATAAAGATATATGTAAGTATATATGTATCTATGATGTATTTATGTATGTATGAATTTATGTATATATGTATATATTGTGGGTATGGTTAAATGTATGCAAGTGTGTTTGTATGTTTTGTATATGTATGTATGTATGTATGTATGTATGTACGTATGCATGTATATTTTTTTTTGAGGACTAATTTTTTGAAATGGCCTCGAGAAATTTTTTGACCATACCGCTACTTATTTTTCGACCCTGCAACGACTGTTTTTTTTTTCGATAGTGACTGGGGCCTTTTTTATCTTGCCTGGATTATTTTTATGACCATACCGCAACTGATTTTTTGACCATGCAACAGTTTTCTACGCGACCACGCTGCATCTAACTTTTCTACCATTCCAATAAAACTATTTTGTCGCCGCAGCTAGTTTTTCAACCATGCCGCGACTATTTTTTCGATCTCGGCCACAGAGTTACGCTATTTCCAGCCTCAATCTGCGACTGCTTTTTCGAACATCGCGACCGAGATGGCCGTATTTTGAGAATTTGCCCTCGACTTAAAACCTGACTATGGTTTTTTGACCGCGGAGCACACATCAGCCCGACAAGAAAAAATGAAAATTAGGTTGCGTACTTCAACCCTGGCAGTCACGATTCAACCGATGCGACCAAAAACCACAAAAATAACTAAACGAAACTGGGTTTAAATAATTAGGACTAATGGAAATTGCTCTCAAAGTCAGCGTTTTTGTAAGCACTGATGATTTCTAGTAGTTTGCAATTGAGATGTGACCTATAAAGTCGCATTTCAAGCAAGTAGAAAAAGAATTATGAAGAAACTGACGTTTCAGTACCTTATGGCGTTGCGGTGATGCCCAGTAAAAATTTAAATGCGGGTTCAAATTGCTCGTGAACTGTAATTCGCAACAAGATGCAACTTAATTTGCTCATCATGATTAAGTGAGCTCTCATTCAAATTTACAAATTAACCTCCGGCTTAGGCCTGTTGCTGATTGACTAGGAAAAGACAATTTGCTAACACACTTTCAAAATAGTCTACCGGAATTGCTTAGAATGCTATAACAAAAAAGTATTATTAAACAATGCCTATAATTTTTCTTCATGTTAGATTTGATCAACATAGATGAAAAACGGAACTGGTTTTCTAATTTAGTTCAATAAACTCTTTGAAATTACAACTTTAATTTATATAACGGGATTAAGTACACTTTTGCGTTTAAAGGCGGGTGAGAGAAAGAGAAGCCCTCTCCCAAAAACCAACCACCAACAGCTCTCATTCTGGTGCATCCGGACCAAACAGAGCTGTCACAGAAGCATATGAGTGCATTCTTTGTGCGGAGACGTTTCAGCAACCCAAGTTGTTTCCCTGTGGCCACACATTTTGTGGACCTCCACGCAAATGTATTTCAAGTTTGATGAATATGGACAATCCCAAATGTCCAGTTTGTCAGGCGGATATCGGCCACTTGGTCATCGCGAATCTCGCGTCTAATTACACTGTCATGGCTATGATTGAGGTATGTAGAGTTTGTTTATTCAGGTAAAAAGTACAGAGCGTTTTTGCGATTTTTGTCTAGGATTACCCCGTAGTAGTAGATGCTGGAGCTGATAAGGGGGGGGGGGGGTTTGCCTGCTGACCCCCATGTATCAAAATAGGGAATAGAGCATCCGGTCAGCAGGCTATGTATTAAGGTTGGGTATAGAGTCTACAATGTATTAAGATAGGGAATACCGATTGAAAGGTTTTATGGTTTGTGTGATGGTAAGATAATGGTAAAAAAAGCGTAATTTTTTGGTTTTTGTCTAGTTTTTTTGCAGCAGAAACAGATGTAATAGGTTAGCTATTATTTGACCTAATTTATTAAATAATCTTACTTTCTATCTAATTGAAACGATAATTTTACTTTGATGATGATGATGATGATGATGATGATGATGATGATGATGATGATAATGATGATGATGATGATGAAGATGATGATGATGATGATGATGGTGATGATGATGATGATGATGATGATGATGATGATGATGATGATGGAACAATGAAACAATGCTGAAACCTACAGAGACCTCTAAAAAAATCAAATTTTTTGAGAAAAAAAATTAAATAACAAAAAAAGTATATAAATCACTGCATTGTATCACAAGTTTACCGCAACATTTTACATTTTAACATCATAAAGCCAATATAATACAACATCATGAATAAATTTACTTGATCAGATCAGTTCTTATAAGTTCAGTGGTTTTGTATGAATTCCATCATCTTGTACTTGTCTTTTTGGATAAAAATAGCTTAGTCCTTTCTTTGTCTGTTCATATGTGGCCACCATATGATTTATAGTTCTGAATCCTCTGTTAGTAGATGTAAGATTAATTGCTTCATCAAGCACTCTCCTATACTTTGCTAAAGGTCCATCTCCAGAGTCTTCTAGAACCCGCTTATTCAATCCTTTGCTGCTAAATTTGAATTTGTCTGACTTGTTTTTCATAGCAGCAATATGTCTTGATACATAAACAGAGCATTTCTGTGCACTTAAATTCTTCTTTGAAAAGTCCCGGCTCCCGCTTATCATGTTTTTTATGGATACTACCACACGTTATGGATACTACCACCAAAGTGAGTCTGTGTCCATCTCCAACTCTTCAAATTTATATACATCACAGAACTTGTCAAAGAAGTTGTAGTAGAGTTCCAACATTCTCAGCTTTGCATACTGAAATATGAAAAAACCAACGATGATGGGTTCTCTATGTTCAATGGTTGATTTCAACAACTCCACCTCATACAAGTTTTTTTCAACTGTATTCAATCTTTTGAACAATGGTTCATTGATTGCCTTGTGAGTTTTTTCATCGTTCAGATACTTCGTGATTGTATGCATGGATCTATCCATGATCTGATATCCATAGGAGGAATTGCCCAAGAGCTTCATTGTTTCTGCTACAACTCCTGATAGAGGGTTTTCATTTCCTTCTCTTCTTGCATCAACCACCGATTGAACGAAATTATTGAAACACTTCCGAGGAGAATATTCAACAAAACGATAAATTTTGGTGCATTGCAAGCCAAGTTCCAAATAAAAGTTGAAGAAAGGAGTTATAACTGTTCCATTTTCTAGGTTGAAGCTAGATATAAGCATTCTCTGTGGATGTTTCAACATTTCATTTTCAATAGCATAATTCTTCATATAGTCACCAATATCGTTTCTTCCAACCTCAGTGTTTTTGAAAATTGGAGGAAAATTCGCAAATTTCGATTTCAGTTCATCTGGAACAACTAAGTCACACTGAACGTAGCCAAGAACAGATCCATTTTTAAATTTTTGCTAGAAGTGAGTCTGTAGAAAGAGGTCTTTTATAGGGAAAGTGGGTTCGAACATGATTTTTGATCTTGTCATTGGTTTTGAAATTTTGCCACCACTCACACTCCCACATTTCTTCCACTTTGTATCCTTTCTCTTTAATGTATTCTCGTCGCATATCATCCATTTCTCTCTTCTTGTTTCCTCGCTCAATCTCCTGTTCTGTTAACGAGGGACAAGCTTCTTGACAAGAACAAAAGTGATAGTACCATCCCATTGCCTCGAATACTGTTTTACAGTGATCACAATAACCGTCTACATTAAAACAGTCAATTTTCTTCTGTTTTCCAGATATAAAAAAGCTCTCAATTTTACATTCTGGTCTTGATTCTTGATAGAAAGACATGATCATAATCTCAAAGTTGCGAGTTCGATTATGTCTAGCCTTAAATTTCTGCATATCAGTGTCAAACTCCCATCTCGTATACAGTCCTGTTGGCATATCTTGACACATTGCGTAGGGGTAAAGCTGGCTCGCATCAATTCCAACGATTGACTTATAAATATTTGATGAATCTCTGATAAATGTTTGGTCTACAACAGCTTTTCGAGTGAACACAATCGAAGGCCCACCGGTCATGTCTTCTCGTATTTTTTCACAAATCTTTATCACTTTCGCAAAATGGATAAAACTTGTAATTTGTAGATTTGTGTAGACATATGTTTGCTAGATTTGGAAGTGTACATCCAAGTTTCAACATATCTATCCCTTTGTTATGATAAAATTGAATCATTTTTTGCATTGCTTCCAGGGTTGGAACTACGTCTTTGTTGTTGTACTACTGCAAAAAGTCTTTGAACACAGTCATTCCGTTTTTCTGCCAAGCTTGTTGTAAGTAACTGTAATTATCTAGTCCAGATGGGGGTACAGTCTTGATTTGAAGCTTTTTCAGTGCTTGCTGTTCATCAAGTCCACTCTTCCTCAGTTTTTCATAATCAGTAAAGTCTTTGTCTAGAGGATTGTTGTTTCTAAGTTTACTGAAAAATGCTTCATATGGGGGCAGTCCTGGAAAATCAAGTTTGTCGGGGTTGTCAAACCACTCATAAGGAAAGAATCCTTTTGTTTCACTAGCTTTATAAGCTTTGAGAAATGAGTCCAGAGTTGTTGCTCCACCCAGAAATTTCATAATGCCAGATCAAATTTAAGTCATATCTACCACTGTTAAATCTAAAAACAGGTAAAGTATTTATATATCTCTCCAGATGTTGTTTCAAATCGATGAGTTGATTTTTCTGAATTCGCAAGAATTGTGTTGACATATCTGTTTCTTCCGAATCTTCAATACATTCGTCTTCGTACTCAAATTTGTTACTTGAAAAGTTTTTACCACGTTCGTTCAGCTGATCAAAGATCTTTCTCATTCTTTCATTCACAGCTACTTCACTCTCTTGAAACTTTTTTCTCATTTCTAGCTTACTTTGTTCAGCCAACAGCTCGAGTTTGCTTACAAAATCAATAATCAAGTTCTGTGGATCCTTGTTATACAAAAAGATGGGTTCATCAATCAGATTTGATGATATAGAGACTGAAATGGGGACATGTTTTCCAATCCTAGTAGTAGTCTGCGTCTCTTTTAGTTCCTCTGTAGGAACACAAATCGATTCAAAATCGAAAATTCCTAGGTTATTAATTGAATCCTTCTAGCTTTACAAACAAGGCTCATAGACGTTCTTTGGGTAAATATGTTTCACTCGATCCTTGCATCTCAGAAGATGTCGAAAATTGTCGGATTTATTAAAAAAAGTGTTACAACTAGGGCATCGAAAGCACTTGAAGAATCTATCTATATCATTTGTATGAATAATTTGATTGTTAAATCTCAGTAGCTTAACTGTTTTATCGAATCTTCCGATACTTCTTCGAGCTAGTTCTCCTACATTTTCTCCTTCTTGGATATCGAAATCGTATATAGAAATGTTTCTTTGCACAATTTCCTCGACAACAGGTAAGTCTTCTACAGAAACTCCACGAAAATTTTTAGGATCATAACCAGATTTTGATATAAACTCTGTAAAGTATCTGGAAGTGTGAGAGTCGAGATCTTTGTGTCCGTTCATGTACACTGCCAATGCGCGGAAAAGAAACAAATGATCTTTGTAAGGTTCCTTGTCCTTGTTAGATAAAAGACAGTTAACAGAATGGTTTTTCAGTAGAGGTTCGGTTAAGACAGAGTCTGGACATCCCATTGGGATGTTTTTCATCAAAGCAGCAAAAATTGTAACGTTATTAATCAACTTAAATCGCCACTTTGTGTTCTAGCGTTCTTGGGTACATTGCTCCACAATATCAAATTTATCTACTTTTCCTTGGATTGTTATCAAATCCGCTTTCGTACAAAGTAAGTGGGATTTTTCAAACAGAGTATTGTTTTCATGGGCGTAGAAATATCGATATTCACCAGTCACAATATTTCGAGGACAAAAACCAGAGCAATATTGATTTTTGCGGCAGAGTCGAGCTTGTTGAAGACTTCTTCAAGTTTCTCGCTGATAATTTTAGTATCTAACTTGGACATTTGGAAGTTAAATACCTTATTTCTCCCATTTTCCATCTCCGTATCCACTAGAAAATGTTGACAAGCACTAAGTTCCTCCTTCAGCTTTTCACCATCTTCCCCCTCATCCTCCACAATCTTGTTCAAGTCGGCTACCGTATCACTTGGCTTCCGTTGTTTCGCTTCATGTTCTTTTCTCCCATGTTGCTGGAGAGAGTAGTAACTGGGGAACTCTTGTTCACAAGAAAGACAAACCGTCGACTGCTTCGAGCTTAATTGACCATGCTTCTTAGCCATATGATAGCTCATTTCTTGTCGATTATAAGTAAAATACTTATAATCAGGGCAAGAAATAACTCCTTTAGAACAATTTTTTTGATGTCTAGCAGCATTGGATCTCCTGTATTCCCGACCACAGTCCTCACATTTGACTTTCTCGTGTCGGTTAAGGGCAGGCATTATCTAAACATAATTGGGACTTTAGAAATGTTCCAAAATTAAAAGTTTAAAGTACCAATTGAATGAAAATATTTACTTTTCGTGAAGTAACGAACTGTAAAGTTTGAAATAAGATTCAATTAACTGTTTCTGATTGGCATACAAAATGAATGATTTAACCCAATAAAATAAGCGTATTTATACTAACAGTGACGC